AATATTTTGTCAGATTTTTTCCATTCATTTAAAGTCAGAGTCAGTAGTGAAAGTTGTTAGCTTGACAGATTGGACTGTTCTGTGCAGGAACAGGGCTGTGAGAGTGGCCAAGCCTGGAAACTTACAGACTTTTTTCTTCCCCCCCCAGACTTCCAAGTGACTTCAGCAACATTCTTGTATTTAGATGTTCAGTTTATACCTTCCTGCATGCTTATTTTGTGTTGTCCATCTTACATCTCACATTTTAGATTGTAAACTGGTTAGATGGTTATGAACTGCATGTCAGCAGAAAGAAAACCAAGTGTAGTTATGGGTTTTGAGTCCTAGCTCATTAAAAAAATAAGAAAGAACATATTTGCTATCTTTTTATGGTTGGAAAATTTCTCTGAGGACAGGCAAAGGATAGCTGTGGACTAGATGAGGAATATTGACCTTCATAATGTACCTCAAAAAATATCTTTGTTTTTATTATTACTTTAAATAGAGAGAGTTGCCTTGGGACTTGCTATTTTTTCAGTGCTGTAAGTAGCACCTTGATGGGTAGCATCTATTTCAGGTATTTTGGAGATGTTGCAAAGCCAATAGGATAATATAAAATCATATGATACAGTCCAAAGACTGCAGAAATATTAGGCAATTTTTTTCTGGGTGGATTTTGGAACATGCTTTTAACAGATAACAGTGTATTACTATTGTCGACACCCCAATTATTTGCATGGAATCTTATTTCTCAGTTCATGCTTTTTCATTTGAAATATTGCATTCCCTCCATGCTTTTTATTACTGTTCCTCCATTTATCACAAATAAGAACAATCAATATGGTACCAGTTCTATCCTGTATGGTCCCGCATGTCTCTGTATGAGAGGGTCAGAGAGGTTCTTGTTGGAACATCTGGTGAAGGCCATGCTGCCCAAGTGGTGTACTTCAGACTGCTGTCAGGAGGTTTCTGGGTGACTAGGTGACCCTTTGCCTTTTCAGTCAGCATTGAATCAATGCTGTTACACAGCGTGGTGCTTCAGGGCTGCGTGTTAGAATCTTCTAATAATGCTGGCATCTACTTCATTAATGCATCTCTAGTTATTAACAGACCAGCTGCAATCTTAACTGATAATTGCGTTTTGTTTATCCAGCTTTGCCCTCAGAATAACAATCAATCTGTGCTGGTTTTCATTGTTAGTTCCAAGGGGTGTTAGGAATCTTAGAAGTACGGACTTGCTGCAGGACTGAGACTTCAGCTGAGCTCAGGATCTGGCTATGTGTGGGTTGGTGAGACACTTGAGTGACCTGTGGAATAAAAGTTGGAGCCTGGATTTTCTGACTTCTGAGCATGGCTCAGTTGCAGAAGCATCCATCGTTTCATACATTCTTCGTCAGGTTTTAGGACCCAGCCTTAGTTGCCAATGATCACGGCACGTCTTCCTTTTCAATGTCAAGATTTTCTGCTCAAGTTGTTTTATTTTTAAATTTCATTAATTCTGTGAAAAGTTTAAGTGAATAGTCATCCAGCAATTTGCATGAATTAAATCAAGTACTAATTAGAAAAACTGTAAAGAGCACAATAAGTATTGAGGCAAAACACGATTTTGGTTTAAAAAAAGAAAAAGCTCACAACTGCTGGCAGTTCAAAGCTTTATGGCCATTGGAAGGGTTTTGATTTTGTTATCTTCCTCTTTCCATGCTTCGGAAAAACAACAGATGCAGTTTAGTTTATGCTTTTTTGTTCAGGTTATATTTCTAAATTGAAGCAAACAATTGCATGACCAGAGTAAATAGAACTCCAGTCTAAAAGCTATGATCAGAAGAATCATATAGCAGGATGCCAAAAATAAATGTGTTTCTCTAAGTGGACAGTAAAGTGCTTTTTGTGTGTCAGAGAGTTTTGGAAATGTGGTGCATCCTGGTCAGTGTATAGAGGGACAATATCTCCTGCTAGGAATAAAGGACCATATTCTGATATCTTTCTGAATAGTAAGTCACAAAATATCTCCCACGTGGTTCTATTGAAGTTAGTGGTGCTATTATTGAAATAAAGGTGGAATAACAAATTTTTTTTTTTATAGGACTATTTATAAATCTATGAAAATAAAAGGTACAATGTAGCTAGTAATTCTTTTGCTCTTGCCTCAACAAAACATTTGTAAGTTTTTTTTAAGGGGGAGAAGAATCTGTTTTTAGGTAGAGTGACAGAGGTCAGCTACTTTACAAATTATTGCATAATTAAATTACAAAAATGGTAATTTTCTGTTTCTTTAAAACATGAAATAGTGGTAAACTGTTCTACAACTGAAGACAGGACATCTTTACTCTAAAATGATCTATCATGGACCAGGTAATTTAATTTTTGTGTGCTGCGTTCTGTCTATCCATGAAATGGTTTAAAAATTAGACTTTACATAACGCTTAGCAAACTTTATCTGGATAAAATATTTTGAGAAAGTTAAGACCCTTCCTTTTTCTTATTGCCATACTGAAGCGTAAGACTTCCCTTGAGGAAACTTGGCCCAGCCCCCGTCTTTACTTCTTTCCCAACATGTCTTTACTGCTCTCCAGTGGAAACCTTGAGAAAAATCTTGTGCCTACTGAAGTCAGTGGAGATAGAATTTATTTACTTCACTGAGGCAAGGATTTCATTCTGGAGCAGAGTGTTTTTGGAAGATCTGAGAAATTAAGAAAGCTTGGAGCCATCAGGCCAAACACAAAAGCTATGCGATTTGTCCACAGCAATGCTTCCACATGCATTTATTTGTGATTGTTGTTTTAAAAAACAAAAAAATTATCAAAGTGGTGTTTTTTTAAATGCTTCCCCCTGCACAAGTCTGGAACACAGATCAGATATATTTCGTTTTCTGCTTTACATTTAGTGTTTCCATGTAGTTTCCGCCTCAGAGAGGGTCTTATTTTCATTCTGAGACATTAATGAGTTGCCTCATTGTACTTTGAGCAAAAGTCTGATCCTGCAGCTAGCTCAGTAAGAGTCACAATTAAGACAGAGAGCTTTTACTTTCAAGTTTCTAGGAGCAATGACCTCAGTATAGCAGCTTGAAATCTTTCAGGTAATAAATCTGACTGCTTCAGTTAGCTTCTTTTTGTTCAGAGATGAACTGGGGTGTGTATGTTCAGAGTATTTTCCTTACCATTGTGTCTGCATAGCCTCAGGAGTAGTAATACATCTGTGTAAATAATGCTTACTGACAGTATAAATTATGAAGTGGCTTCTTTTCTTGTGTATGTTGTTGAGAATACTGTTCTTATGAATTTTTTTTTCTCCATTCTGTTTTTTTTCCTCAGCCTTTCATTATCCTAGGCTTAATGTGTCTCAGTTGATGAAATCTTCCTGGGTGAGAACAGGTATGTACAGTCTCTGTGAGTAAGAGTGCAATTATTTTTGTTAGCAGGATAACTAGCCTACATAAATTTGGATAGCTTAGGGGTGCTTCATTTTTATGAGGTAATAATGTGCCTGAGCTGAATAAATTCAGAAGCTAAAGGCCTAGTGACCTGGAATATTTGGGAGATGTAATTCCTGGGTCCAGAATGAACTTCTGCATTTCCTTGATAATGCACACAGTGTAGTTTTTGTCTGTCAAGCAGTTCCTTCTACACTGACAGGCATAAAGTGTCTACTCTTCATGCTGTCAATATACCACATTGATTTTTAGGTTTTATTTTATTTTAAGTGAAAAATTAAAATTTTATTTGTGTGGCACTTTCTACCAAAACGTTCTAGGAATAAAACAGAATGAAAACAGATGCTTTCCAAGTACATGAGTTTCATCACATTTCATTGATCTCCTTTGATTCATTAACAGCAGATCCCTCCCACCCAAGTCCTCTGGATGTTATAGTCTATAATTCACAGATGGAGTTGAGCTGTCACGTTTAGCTGCTCAACGGCTGTTTAGGTTGCCTGCATGCTGTAGGTCCTACCTGCTTCTTGTAAGCAGAAAGCCTGAACAGTGACCAGGCTATGCCTACCAAACTTGCTGTTAGGATGCAGGTGCCCTACTGGATACACTTTTGTCATCCCACAACTTCTCCACCTGTAGTTCACCAGTGGTATAGACTTACTCTTTTCTCAGGTATCCCTGTCTCCCCTCACCGGTGACCCTGTTTACTTTTTGAGCAGAGAACCAAGTTTCTGAAGCCCAAACAGTTTGTTTAGTTGTTGCTGGAAGTTCCCTTAGATCCTTCAGTAAGAAAGGGGTTCTTCCAGCTCTGAAATCATGTCCCTTTGGGTTTTTCTAAACTTCCTGACTGTAAGATTTTGAAAGCTAATTGCAGCACCTTTTTTGCTGTAAAGGAATTTTTTGTAATCCCAGTTCTTGCAAGCAACCTGGAAAGAGCTAGTAGACTTTGGCTGGGTCGGTCCTTTAAATCGGTGTGTTGTCGTGTAAGGGTAATGAACCATGACATAGGAAAATGATAGAATTTATGCATGTAAAGATGAGGGTTTTAATATTAGATTACCCAGATGTATGTGCATGTATCCCAATAGTCATAAAATGTTGGGATATGCAGTGTTCTCTGTAGCTGTTCCTCTCAGTTGTAGAATACAGTTCATGCTATTAAGAATAATTCATTGATACTGAAATTCAATACACAGGCAAGAATGGTCTTTTTGCCTGTATAGCCTTAGGCCACTATCTCTTTTGCAATTTAATTCTGAGATACTTAGTCTATGATTGACTTTAGAAGACAGATGCTGTTGATCTCTGTGAGAAATCATGAAAATTATTCCTTTTTCTGACATCTGCAGTGAAAATTTTTAAATGGAAAAAGTGGTTTTAATATTTTTGTTTTAAAAATTACAAAAATTCAAATTATATTTAGTTGATTTTATCTAATTGGATGACTTTTTATTAAGCACCACACTTAAAAAAATTAACATGGAAACACTTGCTGAAAGAGGGACTTTTAAAAAATACAAACCATTATAGAGGACAGCCTCAGGAATGAAAACTCAGTCAGCAGTGAATTGGTTTACTATCCTTTAGGGTTGTTTAATTAGGTCATTTGAATGACTATCACTCGATTCACTCCACTTTTCTTTTACTGGTTGCCATTTTGTTAGTAAAGGTCCACACTTTTTTTCATGTTTCCTATGTGTTGTTCCACAGATATTCCTCTCAGCTTTAGCTGCCCCAGTGACCCAGAGTACGTGGAGTTGGGAATTGAAGTGGGCAGGGCTACTAACGGGCTTTTTTGTGCTATGATTGGCATACTTGTTAATCTTATCTAGGGAAGGTGTGCTTCGAAATACACAGCTTAATTCATGTGCTGCTGGTCTTGTGGTTTTCCTCCTTGATTCTGAACCCTTGCTCTGCACATCTCCACCCTCCTCCACAATTTGTTTTTAAACAATTCATTGGATGCTCACGAGTTTATGGTTTTTTAGAATTGAAATAGTTTCTTCAATTTCCTGGGTCTTTCTAGACTGTTTGAGATTCCAAAAATGCCCTCTGCCCTATTTTTTTTTTTAATTTATTTCTTTTAATCCTTCCCACCCAATGTCTTCATTTCCAACATGTAACCCCCAGCTGAACTGGGCAGTATTCCCATGTGAATACAGCTGCTCTTGAATTGTCCGTGAGATGTCACAGGGTGACTCAAAGCTTGTAATTAAAGTTGCAAAAAAGACACTGAAAAGTTTTACTAATTCATTTGTGTTCTTGGGTTACTTTCTCTGCAATGTAGTTCTCTTGGGTGTCGTCGACCGGCGAATTCAGGAGGAAGTGTTTCAGGCTGAGATGGAGCGGAAACTAGCTCACCTGCTAAACGAGGCTTTGGTCAGAGGGCGGATATGGAGACGAGCCAGTTTTGCAGGCAGCAACATTGTGCAGGTATTAAGAGCTCAAAGTCAGGGAAGAAATAAAGGGTAATAAATGAATAAGGTAATGTTGTCTAGGTTTTGAGTTGAGAAAGATAACTCAAAAGCGTATGTCACATTTAGCTAGTTGATGATGCTTGTGTTTTGCACCTAAGATATGGTTCTTGTGGATACCTTTTTGTTTTTTAAGCTAAACATAACAAATGGGAACAACTGACTATTTCAAGTGGCTACTAAAAAATTCTGATAACTTCTTAAAAACTATATTGAAAATTATTTTACCAACATCCTATTTTAAAAACTTGCTATCTTGTCTGACTTACATGAGGTGCCTAGCAAAAGGAGATGGGATGCTCATCTGAGTCAAAAAAGTACTCTGCTGGAACACCTACTTCACAACTCTCTGTGGTGTTTTGGTGGTGGTGTAGAAATATGAAATAGAATCATATGCAGCTTGATGCAACAGTAGAGTAGTACATTCTACCACTTAACTACCTATTTGTCACAGTACTCCTGGTCACAGAAATGGCTTTCAAGTAAGAATGATTGATCATGTCAAATTTTGTGCACATGGCAGCTTCTGCTCTCTGGATTCCAGTGCTGCTTTATAGTTTTGTCACAGGTGGAATTATTCACATAATGTCCAGGAAGACTTGGATATTTATTTTTAAGTTTTAAATTCACACATGTTCTTTCTAGTCAATTCAACAAACTGAAAGCCAAAATACTTCTTGATGGCTCATCTTCTTAAAAATTACTTTTTCCAGCTAATTAATCAACAGTTGGTTTACTTCACAGATGTCCTTCTAGTAGTTCAGACCTATTATCTTTATTTAATTTAATCCTACAGTTTTTGCTACTGCTTACATTTCCAGATGTTGGGATTCGCTTCCTTTTGTTTTCCCATCTCAGAAACATCTGTTTCAGTAATAGAGATTTTATTTTATTTTTCTTTGTGCAGCTTTGAATTGCTCTAAATAGATATTTGCTTCAGATCTTCTATTCCCAGCACCTCTTATTGCACTTTGTTCTTTATGCCTCAGTCCTCCCTTTGCATATAAATGAAAAAAATATTCCTTATGTTGCTAGCAAAGATACCACAGCCTATAAAATGTGTACATGTAGATTATGGTATTACTATTTTACATAATAAAGCTCGGGTAATTTATTTTTTACACACACAAAATTACAAGCAGGCCTTTCTAGCTAAAGAATGTATTTTGGAAAGGGAAAATTCAGCATTTTTCTTATGACTTTGTATTACTTAACTGGGACATAAGGTGAGGTCTGCAGCTTAAGTTCCAAATAGCAGTGCTGCTAAACTATGCCACTTAATTAGTGTAAAGAGTCTGCAAACTGCTGTCTTTGGGCAGTGGAGGATTGTCTTAGTTATGGTCAACACATCATACCATCCCACATAACAAAGAGCTTCTCCAGGTGCTCACAGACAATGCTGTTAGATAGGGTTAGCACTGTAATAAAGGGAGAAGGAAGGCTGAAGGAGATACCTTGCTGCTAGCTGTGATGGGTGTCCTGCTTTCCTGCATGAGAATGGTAGGTACCATCAGGTACTATAGCTTCTTGGTAGCTTGCTTTTGTCAGGATGTTCAGGTGTATGGTAGGCGAGACAGCCTTACAGGCCATTGCGTGCAGCTGGAGTGAGGCACCTGGTAGTGGCCTCCTGAGTGGAGGACAACTTCATTCAAGGATGCTCCCCTATCAGTTGAGGATCTGGTCCATAGTCATTTGCAATAAACCTTTTAGTTTTACTATTGTTAATTGTATTCCTCATAGCCAAGCTGTGTTTAAAGTGTGTTGTATATATGCATCTGTTTGTGTCTTCGGGGAGAGCTGTTAATGTTCTTTGTATTTAGTATTCAGATTTTCACATATATATTTCTTGCACTACTAACATAGTGCAAGGAAGGACAGAAACTGCTGCTAGTAACACTGAAGTGTTGGATGCTTCCACTAGCAGGACATGCGTATGTTCACGAAAGACTAGAAACACATTTCACTTGTGCTGAGCCCCTATAGACCTGAGTTTTTCCTGAGGTGTGAGATATTTTTAGTGTATTGAAATGTGACATTTCTAAGCTCTGTGGAAAATCAGGACTGTGGGTCAGAAGGTGAAGCAATAATTTGTGACTGTTACTACAGACATATTAGTTTCCTTTCAGATACTGAGAAAATAGAAGTGATACCTTGTGAGGTTTAGATTTCATTTCTAAAGTCCTGTGTTTGGATCTAAGAATGTTAAAAATTATTCTTTAAATCTAGACACTTTGAATAAGAGCTTTGGACTACATAGGGTGCTCAAATAGCATGCTTTCCTCTCCCATCTGCCTATCTGTGCTGTTAACAGGTGGCACTCCATGATAATCTGTATAGGCTTTTTTTTCTTTTTTTTTTTTTTATGTACATAAAAAACCTCTGGAGTGTCACAGATGACTGTTGTGCATGAAATCGTTCCATTGATTTTTGTGTGATGCTCATATTAATGTTTCACAGAGCAAGTCATATATATTTTTAATATGTATCTGCTGTTGCTGCAAATTGAAGGCACATGTTTAACACAGTTTGCGTTGCATCCACAGAGACGGGACCCTGTGCTATATTTTGTCGATAGTTTACCATAACAACTCAGTCCTCTTTTTTTTTTTTTTGATGAATTGAATGGCTTAATTGTAGTTCAAAAATACACCACAGGCTAATATAAAAATAACAAATTTTCCGTCATTTCAGTGTGTTTAGTTTCTTGAACCTGACAGAAAGCAAAAGGGTGATCCTACAAAGTGACAAAAAGGACGATGCTCTGATTTAGAGAGCATGTTACACGGCACTGTAGTTATAATGTATGTGAGAAAGTAGTAGCTATGAGGGGACATAATGACAGAACTGACCTTTTCATGAAGACAGAGGTTCATTCTGTGGGTTTTCTACCAACAGCTGACATGTTTCTCACAAGTCTGTAACCTGAGTAAAGGCCCAGTCTTGCTGGCAGTTCCTAGGTTTTTAAATAGAGCCTTTGGGGACTGCTGCTGCTTCACCTTTTCCTTGGAGGCGTTTCTCCTCTCTGACAGCTGCCCCAGGCAGAGACTGACCTCTCCGCTGGGTTGCCCACAGCCTGTTCCTGCCTCTGTTTTGGCAAGATAGTTCGTTGGCTAGTCAAGCCTCTCTCTGTAAGCCAGCAGAGGAATTTTCCTTAGCATTGCCTTCATTCAGTGCCCTGGCCCTCTCGGTTCACTTACTGGTCTCCCCAGCTCAGAGCAAGGAGGATCCGCCAAAGTGGGAGAGTGTTTGGTGCCGTGAGAAGCGCTGCCCTGTCCAGCCCCGGCCGGAGCACTTCAGGAGTTGGTTGCCTGCAGGTAGCACCGCCGTTTCCCGTCCTGACAGGCTCCTGTGAGAGCTTTCTCAGACCCAGGGCAGGTTACGTGCAATGCCTGTTTCACATATGTTTTATGTTGCATTGCTGAACCATTCAGACCACAGTATAGCTTGATTTAATTGCCTGGACACTGAAATCCTCCTTTTTAGTAAGGCAGAAAGCAGAATCTTTTTTGATTATTTTTTCTTTTTGTCCTAGGGGATGAACCTAGTGGAAAAAGGAAAATAATCCTTATACATGTGTTTTGGAGATGGTGTGTGTGTATGTTTGCTTGTTTCTAAGTAACGCTTGTGCCTTCAAAACCCTGAACGAGTTCACCCAGAAATTCCCTGCTCCTGACAGGGCTGCTGACTGGGACATCCCCCTGGCTGACTGACACTGCAAACGCCTAGTGAGCTTCTCCACCACCTGGATTTCCCCACTTTAAATGATGAACTAGCTTTGGTTACCAAGGCAACTCTGTTCACTGACCCATGATAGTCTTTTGAAAACACTTTTTAAATTACATTTACTGACACCTGAACCCAGTTAAGCCTTTACTCTGTGGAGGTTAAATATGCAGGCTAGTATCAACAGAGATGGTATCATTTATGTACATGGAAGGTGATTAGTCTTTTTTCTTCTTTTTTTCACTTTCTGCTTTCCATATATTGAAATTCTTCTATCTCCTCCCTCCCTATGTTGTCTCTTATTGCCAAAGTATAACTGTAAAATGCTTAAATGCTTCCTTAGACGTGGGCTGCATTGCTGGATGCCTGGAAAATATAATTTCTGCCTCCTCTTACATTTTTAGCACTCTCAAGTATAGAGACACCTCTGTAAATATGAGACAAAACCAGTCTAAAGCTGCACAGAGAGTATAATTTGGAGCAAAATGGCATAAAACTTAGTATCCAGAAACTATAAAAAATGGGCACAGTAGCTGTGCACCTCAATTTCATAAACAGACTTAGAAACCATTCAGATCCAGTGTGCTGTTTTCTGTGTTGCAGCAAACTCAGAGGTTACTTTTTTTAAAAAAAAAAGTTTTTTAGTGAATCAGTGTGAGAGATGAAAACTGAAGGACTGATACTGTACACTTGCTGTGTTTATGTATAAGTCTAGTCATCTCATAGTCACCTCAAGAATACCCTGCTCAGCCATCAGCTTTCCAAGAATAGAAATCCATAGCCATCTCCTCTTGGGTTTGAAGTTTTGTCTGTAGCTTCCCTCAGTATGGTGTGAGCACTCATAAAATACTGTGTATTCAGAACAAATAATTTCAGATAAAACTTCTCTTAAAACGGTGAGCTTAGTTCATCAACACCAGCCTGCACCTCCACCCTCCACTGAATTTCTTCATCCTCATTCCCATGTTCTCTATACTTGCTGAAATCCCTCCAGCTACTTCTTCCTCTCTCCCTTCTGACTGTTCTCACCCATCCCTGTTCCTCAGTATAGGGAGCCGTACACTGTTGTTTTTAATTCTGTGTTTAAAATTGCATAGTTTAAGTTGTGGCAACTTGCACTGGAATCTCTCCTCCTTCCCCTCTGCCTTTCTAAAGGCAGCTGTGGAGAAGTTCCTTTTTTAACATATTCAGCCAGCTTCTGACTGTTACCCTGTGTGTATAACAATGACAATACTTCCTGGATACTCTGCAACGCCATGAAATGTACAACGATTCAACATAAGAATCTTCTAAATTTTTCTCATTGTGTAGCACAGCTACAGGTTTGATAAAACTAAATGAAGAACCTATTGACTTTCAGTCCCATGTGGCCTTTCAGCTCCCTCGCTGCCCAGGTGAGTTAAGTGCTACTTAGGATGGGTTCATCCATGCTGAAAGCAGATAGCAGTCCATACACCCTGCTGCTCTGTGCCCTGCGGCCAGGCTGTGATGAAGACAACCCAGCTGAAGCAGAAATATGAAGCTGTGGATGTTTGTTAACTAATGATGTATCTGGCTTCCATGAAACCAGATTCATCCTTACAGCTGCTGAATGTATGTGTGTTGAAACATGATGTATTGATAACGTTTCGTTCTGTTCAGTCAGGGATTGGTTGCCCCTTTAGCTGGTGGAAGTACGAATAGCATTCAGGATGAGAAGCAGCACTGGTTAATGGATCCTGTTAGCAGGTCTTGCTGTGTTTCAGAAATTTGCACATTCTTATGCTCTATTTGTAGGTGTTCTGTTTCTCACGTCAAATGTGACTGATGTTGAACATTATTCTTTGCTTTCAGTTAATTTGGCCTTAGAAGACTTTCATGATAACTATGGTTTCTCTTTCTTTCCTTTTAATTTTTTGATTCTATACCTTGCTGTTACTATTCCTGGAAAATACTTTTTTAGGACATGTTGAGCTGGTGTCCCCAAAAACTGGAACATATCCCTGTTTAGCTAGAACATTGCACTATTTTCTTCAACATGACTGTTATGTTGTAAACTAGGAAAGAAAAAATTATAAAGCTTTGCTTTTGTAAGCCTCAGACATGCAAACATTTCCATGTTTGCTTTACTTTGAGCCTACGGGTGGTGTTTGAGATTCTAATTTATTAAATATGTACTTCATAGTGAATGATAATTCTGAAAGAAACTAAATATATTGCTCCATTTGTGGCAATTCCTTCCAGAGCTCTTGAAACTCTGTTTTACACGATAGAGTACCTGCTACTATTTGTTTGTCCTAATTCTAGGTTGAGCTCACCATTACATGTAAATGGTTAAATAGAGGAGAGTTATTATATATAAGATTTATTTTACAGGAATTCAAAATTGTTTTGTGAGTCTCATATGCAACATAGATATTTGGTGGTTAGAGATCTACAAGGCTTCCTCATAACATGCATTCTTTTGATTATTAACATCTTTAGAAGTAGGTAGGAAGAATTGCTTCCCACAGCATCAAATACATTCCTTCCTGAAGAAAGGTGGATGCCAGGGGGAGCTGTTCGGACAATGAAGGTGTCTGTGCAGGTGTTCTCATTGAGGAAGAGCAAACAGTTCTATTTGAAGATAACAAAATATTTCCTGGTGTAGCTGCTTAACATTTGGAAAAACTGGAACAAAGAAGTGGATGTTATGAATAACAAAGCAAAGTTAAAGCAGGTATTTAGCTAAGGAAAAGTGCAATCATACTAATCTCTTCAGTAGCTCCTACTAACTGACAAATGCTTTTAAAGGCAATAGAGGCTTCCAGGGTGGCATGGTTTGGGATCTTCAGAGTGAAAGCCATTTTCATACTTCAATACTGGATCTGTACAATGTCATGAAATAAATAGAAAAAGAAAAATTAAAACTTCAGGTTTGCCATAAAAATTATTTTACAAGAGATCACTTCCCTGTAAATTTTTCTTTCAGTTACAAAATAGGTATCGCTGTAAATATCCCGTGGTGCTGGAGCACTTGAGTAGTGCTTGTGTAGTTAAACACTGATATATTATTCCAGCAATGTTGTCTTCCACTGGAAGACTTCCACTCAGAATCTTTTGTGTAAGTGTTAGGTGAAAATATCCTGAATTTTGGTTTGGAAGCAAAACTGCATATACTATTGCACATTAGCAGTGTGTATCTACGGTTGTTCAACATTGACTTAAGCTCTTCTCAGATGCAAGAACTAGCCTGTGTATATGGTGCCTTTGCTTGCGTACAGTATTTTGGAGCACTACCCACAGCATGTCTTCCCATCAGACTTCTCTGGATATTGACAATTTCCAAACTGTACCAGTTCACAGCAGTTACATGGTTAGTATAGAATCATATTCTTTGGTGTTACAGATAGAGGGACTTTCTTTAACAGCAATTGTATTTCTACATCATAATACAAGGTGGAATCTTTTTTATGCACTAGGTTTTGCACACAGTGACAATAAGACAAATACTGATGCCATCTTGGCAAAGCTGTTCCACATGTTTCTTTTTAGATAAGTGTCCTTGAGGTCCAGGCCCTGTGAAGGGAAGGGAGAGAAAGAATAAGGACTGAAAGACCAAATGTATGGTACCCCCCAAATAAATACAACTTAAAATGTAAGAGCTTTCCAATTTCTTTTCAGATTGTGAACGTGTCGCGATTAGTTGGTGTTGATAACCCTGTGGAGCTGATCTATTTTGTGGAGGACCAAGATGGAGAGAGACTCAGTGCTCTGAAGTGCTCAGACCTGATGAACAGAGTTGATATCCAGCGGGCTGCCATCATCCTTGGATACCGCATTGAAGGCACTGTTGCACAGCGTAAGCTCTATCAAATCCACACTGGTGCCAGCAAAGAGGAACAGGAAGGGTGATACTAGCTTTGGAGATTATGGCACTGCACAGTGCCCTCTGTTCAGTGTTTTGTCCTTGGGATGCTGCAATTTTGGCACTCCTGAGGAAATAAATTTTAGCACTCTTACTGTGAGCATTACTGTTTCTGTGAGTGAAAGATGTAGGCTAATGCTAGTTGGGGCATTTTGGAGCATATAAGTGAAAAGAAACAGTTTATTTCCTCCACTGAATAGGACTGATCTTTTTTTATTTGTTTGTCCATCCGTAATATTAAGTAATGTGATCTTTTAATAAAGGTAATATAAAAGTAATGTGATCTTTTACTAGATGCACATCAGAATAAATATGACAGGTCATATAAAGTCATATAATTACTTTATTCAGGAAGCTTGATATATAAATAGTTTACAGTAAGGAGTGAGACAGAAGACCTACTTGAAATTCCGTGTTATGATTAGGAAAGAAACTTGAAAGTATTTTAAAACAGTAACAGACATGTCTATGGTCTACAAAATACCTCATTGATATGAATGTTTAATTACCTTTTCTGTTTTCTGTGCAATATGGAGGAATGAGTTATGTTGTACCACAGGGTATTTTGCCAATAGAACAAGCATGTGTCTGATTTTTAAAATTCTCTGCAGAAGGAAAAGAAGGAAAATTGTAATAATTCCACCATCTGCATGTGTTTCTAAATTTTGTCCCTTATTAAAACAGTGTTTTAACGATAGGTCAGTAGATCTGCTTAATGTATTAATGGACTATAATATTGGCTAGACAGAAATGCAAAAAAGTTGCCAAGAATAAATTCCCTCACAAAAATGATGTGTTGAACAAACTTCATTAAGTGTTTATAGCTTATTGTGCATGTTAAAACTTGTAATCTTTGACATGTCATTGGAAAGTTTTTTTAAGAGGCATAGAATCATAGAAATTTTTTAAATGTTTCTTCTTATTGAAGGAAAGTAGACAAGTTATTTTTGACAGAAAATATAGTATCATAAATGAGCTGTCAGATGTATAAAATATAAGAATTATCTTTCTTTAATCTCTAGGTTCATCATTAGAATGGCTTTTATTAAAATTACATCTAAGATATGATTGCATAGAAATATTCTTTTTAACTTGAAAACTTCACTTTAAGAAGGTGCATCAGTTTGACTGGAAATGCATTACTGCTGTGGTTTTTAGTCCCACATAAAACCACTATTCAAAATAGAGCAAATGAAAATTTTGTCAGTTCTTCCAGTTCGCTTTTTAGAATCATGACTGGTTTGATTACACTTTCCAGTAGTTTTGTCTTCTATTTGGGGCTAAAGGATCTCACACACTGCCAAAATAAAATTAAAAAAAAAGGAATTAAAAATGCATAACTATACAGCTTGGGGAGGAGGGTCTTACTGATTTCGACTGGGATTATTGATGGGGAAAATAACAAAATATATAATGTATAACTAAAGAGAAGAGGCAGCCAATAGTACTGCTTAAAACAGGAAGCAAGCAATAATGTTGGAAGGTCCTTCTCACCTTTGGTAGTGGCAAGTCATTTTTCTGGACCCATTTCACTATGTCAGCTCAATTTTGGGATACAGAATGATGTGGCAGAAGTGTATTTTCATTAGATTTTAAGCATAGGTCTTCAGAAGGTAGGCCAGGACAATTAGTTACCTGCCCCATGCTTCCTGAGCATGACATATGTTAACTTAAAAGTGGTGTGACATTTCCTGTGATGTGGAGCTGGTTTCTGATAAATTTCGTAACAGCCATTTACAAGAACATAAAAATACATAACCTTGAAGTGTCCTCAGTTAAAAATATATAACCACATAAAATTGCTGTCTTCCTTTTAATTTCATAGCTGTGGAGAAGCTGAAGGAGTCCACCTCAGAGTCACAGAATAGCAACCTATGGATTATTGTTGGTGTAGCAGTTCCAGTTGCTGTGGTGCTCCTGATCGTTATTATTTTATACTGGAAACTTTGTCGGACAGACAAATTGGAATTTCAGCCAGACACGATGAGCAACATTCAGCAGCGACAAAAGGTAAAAGGGGAAGCTGGGCTTAGAGGAGCTTGAGTATTCTGAGCATAAATGAATGTGAGAGTCTAGGGAACACCTAGCATCCTTAAACAGCATGGGGAAACAGTTTCAGAGCCTTCCAGTTTAAAAAAAAAAAAAAAAAAAGTCAAATGGTAGATGAAGTCAAGAATCCCATAGTGTTTTGTTTATTCTTCTAGGTATATGATACTGCATTAGATATGTGCTTCTGAAATGGGGGCAGTGAAGCCGAAAGGAACCTTTGTTTGTCATTTCATTTGAAGGCTTCAGCTAGGACTGAATAAGAGGAAATGTGTTGAATCACTGACCTTGTTTTCTGCAGAGGGCTGAATTTTTCTTGGGAGAGCTTCTGCTAAACTCATTTGACAGCTAAACCACACCATCCGTTATACCTTATGCTGGACCTAGAATTTGCTAGAGCCTATCCTTGCTGCTTCACGTTCTGCTGGGGTTTTGTGTCACCGTTGTGAAAGTCTTGCAGGACTAGAACTTTAATTCGTGGATCTACATGAGACTGCATGAGTGAGCATGTTGGCTGGACTATTGGCGGACTGGGTTAAGATGGTGAGAAATTCAGTAGCCTGTCTTTTTCCTGAAAAGACTGTAAATTAAAAAATATGTGGTCCAGGTTTTTCACAAAGAATTTATTAATTAAAAAGAGTGGAAAAGTGAGTAAAGGGTTACAAATCCTACTTTTCCTTTTTACAACTGAAGAGAACTGGTCTGTGTGCCAGGGGTGCTTATTACTGACTATACCTTAAGAGACATTATTAAAGGCAAAATAATCTGTCTGTGCTAATCCTGTGGTACATTGTAGTCATATTCTTGTACTGTCACCTTATGTTCAGTCCTGCAGTTTTCTCCATAACAAGCCTTGTCTGTACACCGTGCTCTCTTTCAAGATAATTAATGATGTGAAAGATGAGAGAAGCAGAAAGGAGTTGTACTTCCAAAGCAGTCAGAACAAATCAATAGTAACTTTCACTTGTCTTGCCACTGCAGCTTGAGTGTCAGAATCAAGGTCGGCAACAAGTGGTACCCTTTGATGAACTTCACGCCCCGGTACCTTTTTTCACCTGTGCTGTGGCAATATTTAACACAGATTTTGATTGAAGCAGTTCCCCACAGTAGTTTCAGCTAATTTGAGAAGGGTCATACAAAAAAGGCGAGAGGAGATCATTACCCTTGGTACACTATTTCATCACCTACATTTTTGGTACCTGTCTGCTGTCGCAAGCTTTTTGTAATTAAGCGGTTGGGTTGGGTTGGGTTGGCTTGGCTGTAAGGCCAGAAACATCCTTCGTAGTTTTACTTTCTTTTGGGAAAATGCCTCAGTTGTTATTCTCCACTGCTTCCACAGTATTCTTCATCTTAATCATTCATGAGTCAGAAAGCTTGAACTTGTTTGTATGCAAGTCTCATTTCAGTTCGCCTAGGGAGCCTGTCACTTTGCCTTCATTAGGGAAGTCACTGTAAGCAAACCAGAAAGAACCAGCAAGGACATCTAGTCCAATCCTTGTGCCAGTGGATGGCTCATACTTTAATACTAAATGAGGGAAAGCAATAAAAAGTGTCTTAAATTTTTATCACTTAGCACATCAAACAACTGGCAGAATCTACTTTGAAAGCCGTTTTCCTCCTTCGCCGAAGATCCAGGACAAAAGTAGTACTTTGGCTTCCTTAGTAGCAGGGTGTCTTTGGGATTTCTTCATGCCTTCAAAAAGTGCATTGAAATTCCAGATCATAATAGGGCATACTTAACAAGCATTGAAGAACCCCCAGACAGTCACAACAGTGTACAAATGGTTAGGGACGTTTGGTCTGGTCCTGCCCTTTAAAATTATTTATAGTTTGTTATACTTTTTATTACAGTAAATGCAAATAAATTATCAAAGGAGTGGTCAGGGATTTTAGGTCTGTAAATAAACTCAATTGAAAAATTGACTGAGGCTCCCCTTCCTCCCACCACCTGTAAGTGTTTCCATTTACTCTTTACAGAGCTTGACTTTGGTACCAAAGGAAAGTGAATGCCTGCACTGCATCTGTAAATGGAAGGATATTTTTTAATATAAATATAGAAATGGAATGTGTAAATATCAAAGTATTTAATTAATGTATGCATGGCATATCCATACTGGCAATAGAAGACAATACTTTTCAACCATGTAGTAAGTCAACAGCATGTTTTGCGCTTGAAGATGTGTGTTGGTTGGAAGGTAAGAAACTGAGACACCCTTTTCTTGCTCAGATGAAATAGGATATCGTACTGCACTGGTGGGTCTCCAGAGGTACCACCAGTCATTTTTTCAGTATGTTTAGTTAGTCGTTTTAACATAGCAGATCAGTGGGCAGCATAAAAATCTGTTACAATTCACAGTAGCAGCTGATAGCAAATTATGTCACCTGTGACTTAAAAGCCTGGAACAAGGTTGTGAGTAGGTTGAGGGGAAAACCTGTTTGCTTCACGCTGCTGAGGAGATTTTGCCACTAAAAGGCTTGTTCCTTGAAAAAATCAAGAGAAAGGACTTCTGTAAATGTACAGTAATGCAGATTACATAAGAAAGACAAGTTTTGCAGGAGCTTTTTATTCTCGGTTTAGTCTGTTTTACAAATTTGCGTTATTTTCAGAGAGATGCTTTAAAGACGCTACAAATTTTCCTTGATCCTAAATCCCCATGTGTCATTCTAGTACCATCTTTTCTTTCTTCATTCCTTTCACTTAATCACTTAATTCTGGTTTTAAACTCCTGCTTTTTCCTGAAATATTTTGCTATACACTCAAACAATATTGAGTTTCAATTTTAATCTTCTGTGTGTAGAAGTTTACTTTTACAGAGTGGGTATGATTTCTGTATTCCTATGGCCACCATTACAAGTAAGTCATAAGCTGCAGACCCTCACAGTCTATGTTCTGGTGTAGCAAACCAGTGGTATTTTCTAATGGTAATAAGACCCTACGTGCCTTTTGGGTGTGCCCCGAGGATATGGCTGCCCTGGTACACCTCAGTGAAGTAGCCATCACCAGGTAGTTGCATTACGCAGCAATTCGGTCATACCGGCCAGTCTGTCATGCCAGCACAGCTCACCTGCTTTGGTCCCTTATCCACTCTGTGAACACCCTTTTAGAATATTTGGGTCACAGTTCTTCACTTCTGACTGTCAATAATAGTGTATTTCCCACTTCAGCAGGCAGAGCTGTGTTGAAAAATATTCAGATCCTGCAGTGACAAACTCATAGAAGTACCCAAGGTTGCATCTGTATTTATGTGCCATAGCAGCCCTGAAGCTGGGCTTGAGTCCAGATTTGCTGCTTATCCCCACTCTTAAGGGATTCTTGCTATCAAAGATAATAAAGATAATAGCAAATATAATGTAAGGTGATGACATGGGCAGGGTAGGCTCTATTCAGCGAAGGCCTGTTCTGCAGATTGGGTGTACCATGCCACTCTCCAGTTTCTGTTCTCTCCATCTGGCCTTCTAGCTTCATCACAGGTTCAGTGACTTACAGACTGGGTGGCATAAGGATCCTTCTTCAAAAGGCTCATAATGTTACCTTCTGCAAAGGATATATAGAGAGCCTGAATTCAAACAATACTAAGGGATGTTTTACTTCTGGTATAGTCTCAGAATTCTGCTACTTCAGTGAATATAAGCATAAATACATAGGAAAGAAATGGTTGGTGGGAACCAATGCTAGCAAAACCAGGTTTAAATGTAAAATAATTTAAATAAAAAAAGGATCTTGCAGAGGCTGATTAGCTAATCCATCCCTCTGCCTCAAAGCACAATTAACATTACCTGAAAAAATATGAAGTTACCTTTTTCATTATGGAGGTTAGGTGGAGAAAACATGCTTAGATCAAAGTTATGTGAACCCTTTTTAAACTGGGAGCTAAGGAAGCAGGTCAGAGCAGTGAACTTTTATGCAAGGTTCATTGGTCTGTGCAAGGATAATTCTTTTCAAGAGATGGAACTAAGATATTTAAAGGGCACATCAAGTATTCATGACTTGTTCTGTAAGCTGTAGCATCCTACTGGAAATTCACCTTGATGTCATCTGGGTTGTTGCACTGGATAAAGTTGTCTTTGCCTTTGGAAGTAAAAAGATGCGTAAGTGGCACTTTTAAATTACAAGATTCTTTCTCTTGCTGTTGCCTATGTCTACCATAACATTGTTCCAACCCGAGCTGTGCCTTTTGTGGGCAATTGAATTTTTGCCATGGGTTATTTCTCTTTTTCATGGAAAAATGGTTAAATGTCTTTAATGCTCAAACCATCATTCTGCTCTGTACTAGACTACTGACGTTTTTGTGCAAAAACACTGTCAACCCCTTTCCTCTTCCCTAGAGAGCAAAAAAAACCCCAAACATTCTGTATATTATCTATAATGGAAACAGAGTTGGCAATATTATTTCTTTCTTTATGGACATCCAAACATTTAAATGGAACCTTGTTCGCTGGGGATTTCACTTTCTCTGCTGTGTACAAGTGTTTGGAGAAAGAGAGTCAAATCCCTTGCTTGTACTTTTCAGAGGTAGTTTCAGCTCTAGACATTTATTCAGGGAAAGGCTCCCTGCCCTAATGACAAGAATCTCACACCTGTGGACAAAGCTCATTGATGGTTTATTTAGAAGGTCTTGGATGTTCTCTTGTAAATGCTGGGCATGCTGAAGTCGTTGTGTTTGCAGAGCTAACTTGGAGTGGCTTGCTCAGTTCCTAGTTTTTCCAAGGGCACATTGTAAAACCCTAGGGTGAAAAAGGCTGCTTCTCCAGACAGGAGTCACTCATCTCTGGGGCCCTCTGCGTGTCACTATGGTACTTAAAGGCTGAACATCTCTGGGTCAGTGTCCTTTCTGTGTGTTCAGGTGTGGGAGAGGTGGAGAGGTTCAGTCTCCACAAAGCCTAGGTCAAAGCATATGGTATCCCACCTTTCCATGAGCGGTAGCACGGATAGCGCCAGAGCTGGAGTGCTGCCAGTTTGCATC